TCACTATACATAATTTAGATTGTAAGGAGACTTTACCCAGTGTGACACACACCTCAGTCCAGCCCAGAACATACACACGTTCTCATCAACAAATAATAAACCATATCCGCCTCCCACAAATGCCTTACCTCTCCATTTCCCCCCAAATTTCCTCTCCTATGCTCTTCCCCTCTCCCACTCCTTCTGCTCTGGCTCTAGTACCCATGCCAGTGTTTAATGCTTGTACCGAGCTCATCTCTAACACGCTCCTCCATTCGCAATGCAATGCTCTGGCATTCTGGCCTACAGTTCCCTACTGGGGTGTTCCTGCCTCAGGGCCTTTGCACACGCGGTAACATCTGCCTGGAAAGCCTGGAGTGTTTTTCCCTCAGATTATTTTTTAATGGTCTTTGCCATATGGTGTATATGCTTGTTGGAGAGACAGAGGGAACGTGAGAAACCCCACCACCACCCCAGGGGGATAGCCATGCTGCAATCCCTTCTCCTACATTTTCCTCCTGAGATTGTGGGCACCCACGCACATGTGCCCAGCATGAGTTTCAAGCCACCAGATCTGGGACTTGAGCTGCAGCTGACCATGTGAGAGTCCAGCACCTTAACCACCCTGCCACCTGCTTGCCTTCCCTCAGATCTTCGAATGTGTGGTTTCCTCCCGTCACCAGCTTCTCAGCTCAGTTCTCAGAGACTTTTTTTTTTTTAGAGGTTTTTGCTATAGGGCACGTGCACTTGCCAGAAAGACAGAGAGAGACAGAGAGGTAGAAAGCGAGAAATCACCCCCCAGGGGGGATGGTCACACCGCAATCCCTTCTCCTCCATTCTCCTCTTGGGATCTTGGGCATGCACGCACTCGCGCCCGGCGTGAGTTTAAGCCACCGGGTTCGGGACTCAAACTGTGGTTGGCTACATGGGAGTCCAGCGACAGAGCCATTACGCTAACTGCTGGTCCCAGTTCTCAGAGACTTTTGTCATCACCCTATTGCAAATGTTCCCAAGCCCTGTCACTATCACACTTAGGGCACTGATCTCCGTCCACAATCAATTAAGTGTTTACTCTTTATTTTTAGGCAGAAACCATGAAAATGGTCTGCCTTGTCCCTGCTGTGTCCTAGCACCTAAGCACAGAGTAGGTGCTCAATAAATAGTTTTCAGAGGAAACAATGCCTTTTTATCTCAGTCTTTAATTGTAGGGTGTGCGAGGCTCAGTAGATGAGGCATTTTGTGTGTCAGTGTTTAGTAACATAATTGTATCATAAAAAGGGACTTCTAAGTGCCATGCAGCGACCCCAGGCAGCTGCTGCAGACTGCGGAAGGGAGGTCCTGGTGCTGGGTGGCCGAGGCCATCTCCTGGGCCGTCTGGCCGTGTGCAGAGAGAGCACTGATATTTTTGGCAATCTTTCTTTCTTTTTTATTTTAATTTGACCAGATAGGGACAGAGAGAGAGAGAGAGAGAAAGAAAGATGGAAAGTGAGAAAGCAAGCTGTCAGGTGTGGGTCTCGAACTGCAGTTGGCCATGTGGGAGTCCAGCACCCTTAACCACCATGCCACCTGCCAGGCCCCACTTTAGGCAGTTTCTACAGAACTTAGTTAAAGTGTTCCAGAAGTGAGGAATGCTGACCCACCCAGGGCCCTACCTGTCCTGGGCCCCAGCACACCTTTCGGCCGACTACGTGAGGCGTTCAGCTCTATAAGACCGAGCAAGGCGAGGCTGCCCTGGGTGCCTCCCGGGGTCCGATGGGCACCCACTGCCCAACAGCAGAGCAGCAGGTGGGGGTTCCCGCTGCCCTCGGCATCATACATCTGAAGCCTGTAAAGAGCTTGCCTGCCCGGGGCCCCTGGCTCCAGAGCGGGGTGGACACAACAGGCAGTAACAGCCACCCTGGAGGAGAGGCGCAGGAGGGCCAGAGGCCGTCGCTGAAGGGGAAATAGCTGACGAGCCTTTGGAACCAGGCCTTGCAGGATGTGGAGAAGAAAATGGTCAAATACAGAGACCACGAGCCCCACAGATTCTGTCAGAGCCTGGTAAAGGCTGCTGTTGAAACAGACGAAGGAAGAAAGAAATGAGCATAAATGGAATTATAACAGGAGTTTATTTTGGTGCCCAAAACCCCAAGTCGAAATCCTCGTATAGGTTTTTCACGACACACATTTTCTATGAATTTTGAAGACCCTTCATGATAGGGCCGTTTTCTTGTACTCTCTTTCAATCCTGGGGGGAGCGGTACACTTGCTGGAGAAAGCCAGGCCTCAGAAGGAAATGCGAGACAAGGGGGTCTTCCCCCTTTCCCCAGGGGCGGAGAGCACTACGAGGCACAAATGGGACCTTTCAGAAAATCCTCTCTTATTTCTTTGCTCTGGTCATGTAAACAAATGTTTATTTCTTTATTTCTTCCATGAGAGACAGACAGACATAGCGCCCTCAACAAGGTCTGGCCCCATGGTCTGCCCCGAGGTCTGGCCCGCCAGGACTGGCATGTGCACACCCAGTGTGTACAATATGTACCTATTGTACGCTCAGAGCTGCCTCTCGAGTAACTGCCTCCATCCATCCAGTTTGGGGGTTACCTAACCCCTAAACCTGCCAGATGAGCCCACACACGTCTTTCTTTGCTAACCCCAAGGACCAGCGCGTGAGCCCTTCGTGCCGAGGCTTTCTTGCTGACCAGGGCAGGAAAGAGCGATGGGACGTCACCAAGTCCTTGAGCCGTCGTCTCTGCTCTATAAGACTCCTGGTCCGGCCGGGAGAACACATTATAATGGAAAGGGTCCCCGTGGCTTATACTGAGACACAGGTGGGAACTGGGGCACCCCTTCCTTTACAATGAGATTTCGGAGAGCCAGGGACCACACCCCAATGTTGGTGCCTCAGCTAAGACCCTGGAATCCTTCACAATGCTGTCTCTTCCCATCGCTGATGGTCGGGCTCCTACAAGCCCCTGATTCTCTGCACTTCAGCTCTCCTGGAGCCAGGTCTGAGTCCCTGCAAGCCGGGTTCACCCCTGGGGTTACCGCTGTGCCACCAGGCCTCCTCAAGCCCTGCTGGGTGCGTCGAAGGGCCCTGAAGGACTGAGGGTGGTGCTCTCAGTTCACTCTTGGCACCTGTCTTTTGCAGACTGCTGCTCCAGGAGAACTTTCGCAGATGCCACAGGCAGGGGACAGGGTGGGAGTGTCTAGATTACCTGGGGCTCAGGCCTCCAGGGTTACAGTTGTCAAGCGATCTGGTAAACTCGGGTGCCCCCCTGTGGTTCTGAGTGGAAAATGTCCCGTGCACCAGGCCGAAAGGGGACCCAAGTGGTGGGGGCTGTCCCCTGACACCTGTTCTAGGCTGTTGTGTTGCTAATAGCAGAGACGTTGGGGGTTTATTTAGCGCTCAGTTTTGCAGGTCCAAGGTCAAGGGGCCATATCTAGTGTGGGTCTTCTCGCTGGCGGGGTCTCAGGCGGCGCAGGGCATCATACGGGAGCGTGTGTCTGAGCGCACGTCTCCTTATAAACCCATGAGTACCCAGACAGGGTGCCCCATCCTAATCTCACAAAGGCCCCACCTTTCCATACCTACTCGGGTTAGTTTCCTACCTCTTAATCCTATCACCATCACATTTTAACGCATGGATCTTGGGAACTGCATTTGAACTCTTGGCCACCCCACCCACCAGCAGCATCGGCTTCTCAGGAGTCACCCCAGGCCTGTTCTGGAATCCACACTTTTAACAAGATCTGCACATTGCCGTGTGAGAGGCCTGATCCAGTGGCCACGGGATGGCCCCGGAAGCTCTTCTAGCACAAGGCAATGACCGTGCTGCTCCCAGAGGTGCTGCTCCTTAGGGACTAGAGACAGGACAGGCCACGTCCCATTTCCAGGCTCCTAACTGCTTCCCAGGGTGTTCTCTTCCCACGGCTTTGGATCAACCCATTCAAGCCCGGCAACTTGGTGGTGGTGGTGGGGTGGCGAGCTCGACCACTCAGGCCCTGGCAACTTGGTGGTGGTGGGGCGGGGACGGCGAGCACAACCACTCAGGCCCTCCGGAATTCACAGCCTCCATCTCTTCAGTCTCTTTCGGCCCAGCGAGCACAGAAGTCCTACTGCTCAGCTCTTGCTGGGACACCTGAACCCCTAGGGTACAGGAAGTGGGCCCAGTTATGTGAGCACCCACTGTGGGGTTAGCCCTAAGAGCATTGGTCTAACCCTGAGTCTCCTTCTATCCAAATTATTCCTCCAAACCCCCAGACTCTGGTTGCATTTCTCTGAGGGGCTTGGGTTTCCCCAGAACAATCTATCTTACATGGAAGCTAGACATCACGTAGGGTCCTAGCAAAATGTGGAATTAAAGACCGAGAGCCCTGGGCCCTTCTTCCTCTCCTGCCCCTGCAGAGCTGGCAGCTCTGGGACCTCAAGTTGCAAGCAGGTGTGTTCATACCTGCCCTCCCTTCGTCAGGGACAGCATGGCTGGGGACAGTGTGTGCCCGGAAGTTCTGGTAGCTATGAACTGTTTTATATGTGCGTGTGTGTGTGTATAATATATGATTATATGTATTGTGCATATGTGGTATATATACATACGTAACTGCTGTTACAACCTAAAATGATCTTCACATGTGAAACCCAAGAGTTGTACGTGAGGAGTATGACCCTTCTCCAGTGGGGATGCTCGTGTTTCTAGAATCTGCACAGGGCGTTGTGGCAGTGTGCAGGCAGGAGCACTGCCTTGTAGTGTGTGTGTGTGTGTGTGTGTGTGTGTGTGTGTGCATGCACGCGAGGCCTTGGTGTCCAGCTGCTGTGCACAGGTGGGCGGTGTAACGTGTTGGTGCAGTGTGGGGTTTCGTGCTTACCGAGTTGAGTGACCTCAGTCTTAGCTCAGTGACCTTGAACAACTCCCTCAGACCTTTTTGGGCCTTGATGTACTCATTTTTATTTTTATTTAATTGCAGAGAGTGTGTGTGCTTGAGAGAGAGAGAGAGAGAGAGAGTGAAAGTTGCTAGGCCCAGGACTTGAACTGCTGTCAGCCATGTGAGAGTCCAGTGCCTCAACCACTGTGCCTCCTGCTGCCCTCTCTACTTCATTTTCAGATGAGCGTTTTGTGCTTGGTGATTTCCCAGGTCTCTTGCAGCTGCCAGCCTTGCTGTCCAGCTCAGCTGTGGGGCTTAAGCCATGGGTTTGGTGCCTAAAACAGTCTCTGGGTCTCTGTCTTTGAGGCTCAGCCACTCTCTTCGCTCTTCTCACTGAACAGCTCGAATGTGGCTTTTTTGGAAGTTGTCTCTTACTGACTGGAAATGCAGGAAGCTTAAGTGTGAAACTCATCAAAAAAAAAAAAAAAAAAAAAGGCGCACAGGACGAAAAACCACAGAGCTATTGGCCTGTCGTCACTGAGCGGGCTCGAACAGTGCAGAAAACTCTAGGCAGAGAGGAAACGAACTCGAGAGAAGGGGAACACGCCCCGGGGAGGGCGAGGGCGCGAGCAGCAGGGGAGCCGGGCCGCCCGCGATGCGCCAGGATGGCAGAGGTGGCCGTGAAGCAGGGCCCCCTGTACCTTCAGCTGCAGCAGACTTTCGGGAAGGTGGGTGCTAGGCTGGCTGGGGCTGGGGGCTGCCAGTGTTCCTGGGCGGGGTGGGCTTGACCGTTCCCAAAGCCTTATAGGGCTCAGCCGTCCACCCAGTTAGCCGGAGAGCGTACCCTCTGCCAGATGCCTGCCCTGCCAGGCCCCGCCAGCCTGCCCTGTGCCCCTCACTGACAGCTGCTGCCTTCGGGCTGGCGAGGTGGGCGGGCTGGGGCATGGGGGTCTGCCTGCTTCATTGCCTCCCTTGCCCTCTTACTCCCTGTTGACAGCTTCTTATGGGGACATCTGGGGAGGAAATGGAAGGGACAGCTTGGGGCGACAACCTGAGCTGACAGTGGAGGTTCCTTCCCCTTCTTCCCCCCAGGTGGGGTCTTCAGCTGGTGTCAGGCTCTGGCAGGGCTTCTGGGTCCAGGGCCCTGTGTCCAGCCTCTTCCTTGCCTTGCTCCTGCATGAAGAAGTCCTCCCAGGCTGACCACGCTGGGCGCGGCTGTGCTCCGGAGCAGTGGGGCAGAGGGATTCAGTGGGTGGAAGGAGCTCCAGGAGGAGGGGCCTTCCTGCAGAAGGAAGCGGCGTCTGGCCTGGGCCCTCGCCCTGCCTGCTGCCTTTTCTGAGGACCTGGGCCTGTGGGCCCCTTGCAGCCTGCCTCTAGGTTCACCGTGTGGCTCCCCCTGCCTGGGCCAGCTCTGCTTGTCCTTGCAGGCCTGTCTGTCGGTGGCTGTGGCGGATCTCCAGCACTCCAGGGCTGATTTCTGCGGCCTGTTATCTGCCCACCTCCCTCCTCCCCGGGGGCTTTCCCCCTGACCTGGCATTGCTGCCCAGCCCCATCCTGTGGGGTCTTTTCTCCCCTGTGGTCATGATCTCTCCCTGTCTCGGTGCTCCTTCTTGCCACCCTGCCTCCCCCACATCGGGGCTCAGAAATGGCGTCGGTTTGGAGCCGTGCTGTACCGGGAGTCGGGCTGTGCCCTGGCCCGGCTGGAGCTCCAGGAGGGCCCAGAGAAGCCACGCCGTGGAGAGACTGCCCGCAGGGTGATCCGCCTCAGTGACTGTCTGCGGGTGGCGGAGGCCAGCGGGGAGGCCAGCAGCCCCCGGGACACCAGCGCCTTCTTCCTGGAGACCAAGGAGCGCCTGTACCTGCTGGCGGCCCCCACTGCAGAGCGTGGGGACTGGGTGCAGGCCATCTGCCTCCTGGCCTTCCCTGTGAGTGGTCCAGGGCTGTGAAGGGCAGGGTTGGGGGAGGGTGTCAAAGACTTTCTGTGGACAAGTGTTAGAAGAGTCGAGGGCAGAGTGCTGGGGGGCAGCTTCCTTGGTGGGGGAACCCCCAACCAGAATGCAGGTGGAGCCAGCAGGCTGGGGAGGGGACCTTGGGGTCAGAGATGGCCGTGAGAACTGGGCCTCCTCCCCAGGGGCAGCGGAAGGAGTTTCCGGGGCTGGAGGGAAA